CAATCATTGTCAGTTCCTTTTCTGCTTCAGCTGTTAATTCTCTGGGACTGTTTAAATCTTTATCACCATCCAAGGTTTTGTTCAAATGAATTATTAAATCAGGTGTTATTCCAATAGCTGGTCGTAGACTGGAAATGTCTCCTAACAGTCTTTGAAAGTCATTAAGAGTCCGTAGGCGATCTCTCCTAATTTGTGCTTTTTGTGTCTTAATTTTTTGCAAACCTATTTTATAACCTAAATAATTAACAGAATCTCCCTTCTGAATCTTTTCAGGAGCTAATTGCAATCCCCATTTAGGTAAAAGTATCTTTATTTCTTCAAACAGTCTGTTCAAGGTATCCATGTTTGAATCGGATAACAAGATGTCGTCCATGTAATGGTATACTATAGATTTGGGAAATTTCTTGCGTATTATTTGCAATGGTTGGTTCACAAAATATTGGCACAGGGAGGGGCTATTTAACATACCCTGGGGGAGAACGGTCCAGTGGTACCTCCTCGAAGGTTGAGAATTGTTATAAGTAGGCACTGTGAAGGCAAATTTTTCTCTATCTTCTTTTTGCAAAGGTATAGTGAAAAAACAATCCTTTAAATCAATAACTATGAGAGGCCATCCTTTTGGTAATAAAGAGGGCAAAGGAATTCCAGATTGCAGAGGGCCCATAGGTTGAATAACCTTGTTGATGGCCCTGAGATCTGTCACCATTCTCCATTTACCTGATTTTTTCTTAACCACAAATACAGGAGAATTCCAAGGGCTGGTAGATTCTTCTATATGTCCAGCATCTAATTGTTCTTGTACCAGCTGTTCTAAAGCCTGTAACTTTTCCTCAGCTAAAGGCCATTGCTTTGTCCATATTGGTTTCTCAGTCAACCATTTTAGAGGCAAGGCTGTTGGTATCTCTGAAGGGACATCAATTGCTTGTTCTTGTACAGCCCGAATGGCCGGTTTTCTCCGTTTGTAATATCTTTTAATATTATTCTCAGAAATATAGGCTCTAGATTTAGCAGGAATGTTAATTTCGGTATTCCATTGTTGTAATAGGTCACGACCCCATAAATTCATTGCAATATTGGCTACATATGGCTTTAATTTTCCTATTTGTCCCTCTGGCCCTATACATTCAACCCATCTCGTGCTCTGCCTTACTTGAGATAGGGTTCCAATTCCCAGGAGCTGAACATTTACATTCTGAAGAGGCCAATACGGATGCCAAGATTCTGGGGTAATGATACTTACATCAGCACCTGTGTCCAGCAGGCCAGTAATAAAAATGCCATTTACACACACTCTCAGTTTAGGTCTTTGATCATTTATAGAAGTTTGCCAAAACACACGTAACTTATCTTTCTGATCATTATTGCTTGTAACAGTAGGCATGGGGCTTCCTAATTGTCCTGATGAGGCACGTTCTCTGCAGAAACTGGATATGACTGAACCATGTTTGCCATGGGGGCCTGTGAGGCCCCCCCCCTCTCACGTTTCCCGGCTGTATCAGGTTGCCTTGTCTATCTCTTGTAGACCTGCATTCATTCGTCCAATGTCTGCCCTTTCCACATCTTCTACATAAACCTGAAGGCTGAGTCCTCCTATTTCTGTTATTTCTAGAAGATGCATTATTATTATTATTTCTGAAAGATGCATTATTATTATTATTATTATTATTATTATTATTTCTGAAAATCCGTTGTTTACAATTCCTTTTAATATGACCCATTTTTCCACAATTAAAACATTTGGTATTCTGGTGTCTCCTTTTACCATTGGAAATTGCTTCTTCTACCCATGCTTCAGTGCCATAATCAAATGTATCAACATTGAGTGTATGCAAGACCCATTCTTCCAACGGTGCTGATCTGAGCTTTAAAGGACCCAAAATCCTTTTGCATTCCACATTTGCATTTTCATAAGCCAAAGACTCAATCATTATACGTCTTGCTTCTGGGTCAGATATTCCTATTTGTACAGCCTTAGTTAATCTTTGTAAAAAGTCACTAAAGGGTTCTCTCTGACCCTGTTTAACTCTGACAAATGATTCCATTCTCTGTCCTGGGTCTTGTACCCTGTCCCAAGCCCTTAAGGCTGCTGTAGTACACATGGAGAGTGTGTTTTCATCCAAATTAGCTTGTTCCTGAGGATCGGAAAAGAGCCCTTCACCTAGAATTTGATCTAGGGAAATGTCAATTCCCTTCGCTTTTTCCTGCTGTTCTAAGAGTCTAGCCTCTTGCCTGAATAAGCATTTCCATTTCAATTGCGGTCCACTCTCCAGTACCGCAGAGCTCAGCTGGAGCCAGTCTGAGGGGGTTGCTCTGCTTGTCGTGGCCCAAGATCTTAGCATCTCTTTAACAAAAGAGGCTTGCATCCCAAAAGTCATGACAGCCTGTTTTATTTCCTTGAGATCATTCATACGCACAGGCTCCCATGTATCCTCCTTGATGACCCTAGGGTTTTTGGAACCAATCACCTTCTCTGTTGTTATTACGGGAAAGGCAGGTAGAGCTGTAGGTAGAGCTTTGTGGAAATTGTCCCGGAGAGACTTACCCACAGATGTAGTTAAAATTTTCCTTTCTACCCTTTGCTCTTCTTCATCAGAATTTAGAAATTCCTCAATCTTTTCAATTCTATTCACCATTGCCTTCTGCAATGTCTGAATCTCCTGTCCAGAATTATGTTCCAAAGCCTTCATTGAGGATTCTAATGTATGAAGTTTGTCCGTTAGAGATAACATCTCATCTTTGGACATAATTTTTATGGCATAAACCGTGCCTTCTTGTATTGACAATCTTTCCGTCAATCTGTCATAAGCTTTAGACAAAATCCGATTGTCACATTCAGCAGTTTTGATTCTCTCAGTTAATGTTTCATTTCCTACAGAAAGGGACTGAATCTTATGGTTCAGATCAGCTGTTCCCTCTTCCATAGTAATGAATTTCTCCTTAACATCAGCCTGAAGAACTTCAACCTGATTCTTGAGAAGATTGTTATCAGTCTGGAGAACTTCAACCTGATTCTTGAGAAGATTGTTATCAGCCTGGAGAACTTCAAACTGATTCTTGAGAAGATTGTTATCAGCCTGGAGAACTTCAAACTGATTCTTGAGAAGATTGTTGTCATTCTCAATTGTTTTTAAGCGTTCAATCTCTACCTTAAGAATCCTGGATTCGTCTCGTAAAGACTTTATCATATTTCTATTATCAAACCATTTGGTGCCAATGAAAACTACGAATCCCAGAAGGATCCATATATGTGGGGTGATAGACACCTCTTGTAAAATCTCCCACATGGTACAATTAAAAAAATCATTAAATTCTTGAACAGTAATGTGTTCAGACATTTTATTTATAAAAGAAAATTTTTTTACCTGCAATGATCGGTTCCTGCCAGTGGTGGTCTCTGTGTTTTTGGAGCCTGTCCTAGAACTAGCTCTTGTAGACCAGGCTGGCCTTGAACTCACAGAGATCCGCCTGTCTCTGCCTCCCAAGTGCTGGGATTGAAGGCGTGCACTACCAAGGCCTGGCAGGCCTCAAACTCACAGAGATCTGCCTGCCTCTGCTTCCCAAGTGCTGGGATTAAAGGCGTGCTCTACCACTGCCTGGCCGGCCTCAAACTTGTGATCCTCCTGCCTCTGCCTCCTTCAGCAAATCCTACCGGCGTGGGCCACCACAACCGGCCAAGTCACTTTGTAACAGACCAAATCTGACGCTGTGGCAGCTTTTGTTGCAAAACCGCAATTACTTGAGCTTCTGCTAATTCAGGCAGTGGGGTTCCGCTGCAAAACTTAGCCAAGGCAGGCAGAATGGGCCTGTGTCGCCGAGTGTGTCTCGGACTCGGCACTGGACTCGGCACTGGGGCCGGAGTCACGAACTGAAAAACAGCACCGGGGAGGGTGCTGTGTTAGCTAGCGGGCTACCCGCTTGAGTCGGGGGCAAAATAGCCCGACGTTGGACGCCAAAATGTAACGGCGTAAATGAATGCAGACAGAGTGTAAAAATATATATATAGCTTTAATGTAGAAATAGACTTACAGAACCACCGTTCCTGTGGAGACCAGGAAAGCAGAAGCGAGCGCTCGGAGCTTGCTCGCCAAATTTATAGGCAGACATTAGCCCGAGGCGAACACGCCCCCTAAGGGGCGGGACTTATCCCTACACTCCTGGGCACAGTGAACTAAGAACCAAAGCAAAATAAATCCCTCCACACACACACACAAAATATTTCTTCCGGGTATTTGATCACTACAGTGGCAAGGTATGAATAACACAGAAAATGTATAAACAAACTAAGATATTTCAGGGTTTGACTTTAAAGCATGGTTGGTTGCTAATCACCACCCTGACTAGATTTTAGACAAGAATTTAGTCTCATTGAGAGTGGTAGAGAAGCAGGTTGATAAGGATCTGTGAAAGTCTATGTTAAATGTTGTGCCTGGCATACGGTGGGTGCTTTTCAAACAGGGGCAAAGACCATGACCTGGAACACTGGCGAGGGAGGGCTCACAGTTAGGTGGCCCTATGTAGTGGAGAGTAGCTCCCTAGTTGTCCTAGGGCCTGAGGAATTCCTGGCATTCCCAACTAGGAGCTTCACTCAGGGTTTCGTTTACACCACCATCATCAACTATGGCTGCCGGCAAGCTTCTACTCTCACTCCGGCCTGGCCGTGGAATTCTCAGAGGAAAACATGAGTTAGGCTGAGACAGGTCCCAGCCCTGTTCACCCACAGGTGATTAGATAAAAAAAATCTTTTTTGAGCACTGGATCCTGCCAGTAGGGTGAAGGAGTGAAATTCATGCTGGGTTAGCAGCCAGAAGGGGCTAAGGATACTCTTTTTGAAATCTGTTGCCATGAAAGGGGTTTAGTTAAGGTGGCCTGAGCTATAGACATGGGTGGAAGGGGGTTGTGTGCAGGAGTGTGGAGGACAGGCAGAACCTGCTTGCTAGATCCTTTTCGATACCAATATCACCCACCACGACAGGACACAAGTAGGCAAGAGACAGCAGGTGTGTGATAGAAATAAAACCGCTTTACTGTTTAGAATAAAGGACACACTATAAAAAGTGAACATTATGCAACATTACAAGACAATATACATTCACGGAATATAAAATTCATAAATAACATGGAGGAAAACTGTAAACAGTGCTACAAAATTTAGCAACAAATACATTCCTTCTAGACAGGGTTTTCTCTGGTTGGTGTCTCTTCGTCATTACTGGGCTTCAGCGCAGCCAACTGGCTAGAGGAAAAGTAGTCATAGAGAATCTAAGGTACCCCTGTCATCCGAGCATGGTCATGTTCTTAGGTCCTCTCCTCCTCAATCTAAATAGCCAACTAAAGTCTGTTGAGACCACCTCTCCTGCCTTTTCCCATTTCATTGTGCTTCTGCCATTAGATTAGATTTTTTTTTAATTTTTCTCTGATACAAATACTAGAGTGATGTTTTTAACTTTAAGTAGCTGGGAGCCAACCACCTACTGCCCCTTGGTGTGAGGCAAGGAAGGGCAATGCTTCCTGGATCCACATTTTTCTCCCAGAAAGAGCTATCCCCAAAAGTCCTTGTGTGTCTCTTATTGTTTAAGAAGCACAACATGAAACAGGGTTTGTTTGGCAGGGTTAGGACTGGAGAAGGTAGGTACTGGGGTTTCTTTATGCTCCCCACCCTGGCTACAGTAGAGTGCAGTCCTGGGAAGCAAAAGCCTATGTATAAGAAAAGATGCCTGGATGAGACAAAGAGAGCTTGGTGTCACAGTTGCCATGGTCACGGACTTTGCAGAAACCATAGCTTCCTGGGTGAGCAGGAGAAAGGGTCTTGGGAAGTGGGTGGCAGGTGACCCAGGGGTAGCTGATACAGGACAAGGACATCAGTGTGCTTTTGTTTCTGTTTTGTTTTCTTCTTCTCCTTCCCACCCTTGGGATTCTACGGGGGAGGAGGCTGGAGGAGGCTGCTTCTAGTACCTTCTATTTCCTTGAACTCCAGTCTAGCTGAATGCTTGCGTCTCAGTATTCTACCCTCCATTCTACTGTAGAATTTGAATCAGGAAAAGGCATGGGGGTTCCTTTCTTTCTTTCTCTTTCTTCTCTTAGACACAGTGTACACTGACAGCCTACGCATGTCACATGATTTTAGCAAAATAAAACATTCATGATATGATTGAAATACCAAAGTGTCTCGGCTACAGAAATGATTTTAAATTATACAGTAAGTGAACAGGTGAAATAAACAAAGCTATAGCTTATAGAAAGCTCAAAAACCTCCCTCCGATGACGTGACTTTCCAGAATCCCTCCTTGCCCAGAACTTCTCGCCAGGGCCTCCACAGCCAACTGCGGCCACGGTTCTGCCAGCTGATTAACGGGTTAGCATCAGGTGTCTCATCCTCAGGCCTCACCTTAGGTCTCTCCCTCTAGGAGTGAGGTTATTACACAGGATTGAGAATGGCTAAAGGCCTCTTGGAAGAGACGCGCGTGCGCACATGGGAGAGCACTTGAGCTGGGTAAATTGGGAACTCCATATTAGGAGACTCTAAGGTTGAAGCAAAGAACCCCAAACAATAAGTCACCCCTGAAGAACCACTGGCTTGCTGACCTCAGCTCCTCTTGCTCCACATCGTGGAAAGGGTTGTGCCTTCTGTTCCCTGTGAGCACAGGGGAAATGAAATCAACCAAGAGGAAACTTGACACCCATCGCCTGAACTGTCTTCCTGCTCCAAAGCAGGTGTATGTGGGGTGGGGTTGGGGGGGCAGACGCTGGAACGTGTTGGCTTCTTTCTCTCTCTTTCTACTTATAATTGGTAACTACATCTCCTAATGTGGAATGAACTGAAGATATGATACTAATAGAGGATAAATACCCATAATCTGAAAAGAGACAGAGTAACTGTGTTAAATGTCACCACCTCACCACCTCAGACTCTGTAAAATACACATTATCATCTACTATCGGCAATGCATTTTTGACACTAAAACTTAAAATAATCTTATTTAATAGGAAAATTTATATTATAGTTTTATTTTAAAAACAAAAATACAACACAAAAAGAGGCCTACAGTTTGATGGCAGAGCCTGGCTCCCTCAGTGACCAACCGTGTTCATTCTGAGAGGTGACCACCTCAGGAGGTAATGTTCACCCACTCCTGAGCTGGGGAAGAAGAGTATGCTGTCCCCAGATCCAGGAGAGGAGGCATTCCACCGAAGCAGGACGCTATGCAACTGTCCCTCTCGTGTGGAGACCCCTAACCTGCTCTCACACTCACCTGCCATCAGATGGCCAGTAAGGCAATTAAGTGAAGGGCACCCAAACACTAAGCAGAAGGAAGAAAGGAGGTGAGAGGTCAGATGACCCCAGTTATAGGGACAAGAGGGTGTTGAGGGTTTTCGGAGTTTCAAAATTTTAATTCAAATGGAAAAAAAAAAGTCAACTTGGAATGTCACAATTTCCCATCAAACAATAAAAAGAAAAGAGATTAAACGATTTGCATATTTAACAGCATCGAATAGAATTCTGTGTCCTATAAAAATTAGCTCATAATCCCCTATGGGTATATGAAAATGTGGATATAAACACATCCCCCTAGATGAGCTAAACACTACTTTGGAAATAGTATCCTCTACCCAGATCTACTTGACTATATCTGTGGATAGTGTCTGGTGTATGTTTCTTCAGATTATACATTGGCAAGCTTCGAGCCAAACTTCCCCAAGAATTCCCAGGAGGATGTCTCTCATGGGAGGCAGGAAAGAAAATATGTTCGTCCCAACACTTTGTCTGAATTTTTGTACAGACAGACATGTTCAACTCGGGCAGATGCTTAAGTCTTCATGAACTCAGAAAGCTCTATTACTCTGACATATGCTTGCTCCGGGATTGAAAGATCTAATCAACCCAAGTATCACAGGGCTGGGGAACTGTGTGTCACCTCAGACCTGCTCCTGCCATTTGCCCCTTCCCTCCCTCACTCCGACAAGCAGACACGAACAGACAGACCATCTGATCCAGATACACAGTTGTCTATCCTCTGTGGTTAAGGTCTTTCAAATACCTGGTGTCTGTCTGCTTGCTGTCCTTGACTGACTGGGAAACAGTTGGACCTGTGCCAACTTCCTTATCTATACTCTTTGTATACTAGGATGAAGAAGTGTAACTGGATGTGGGTCTAGAGAGGAAGAAAAAGGAGTAGCTATTAAATGCCCAAACAGCATAGAATTTTTCAATTTTTGTTTTCCTAAAAAAATATAGATTATATATCATGAAGAAGAGGAGTATGCGTGCTCTTTCTTTCTGGCTTGGCACCAGAGATTCCCAGTTAGAAATGGGTGATGTCAAAACCAAAAAAGAAGGGGGAGGGGCAGGGCCAGGAGGGTAGTTCCAAATCAACTCCATAGACAGCAGAGACTTTAAGTGTCCCCAGTGCTAAATTTGCAAGAAAACAGGCACTAATTTCATTGTCATCATTTGGGAAGAGTTAGTGTCCGGGAGGCTCAGTGGGATGGGAAGGAGGTGAGGTGGGACAGGTCTGCATTCAGGGGTCTGTGGCGTTGCTGATGCTCTTGTCTGGAGGGGCCCATCCTCGGTACCAGCTGCAGTAGCCACCCTTCTGCCGGATGCAGGCGTAGTGTTTAGACTGATAGCCGGGGTAGCCAAAATTGGAGAGCATGTCGGTCCAGAGACACTCATTCTTGGAGGTCACAAAGCAAGGCAGGTAGTAGCAGGACTTGATCTGCAGTGATACACAAGCCATAGTTAGGGTACTGCACCATGGCAGGCCCAGCCTGGATTCAAACTCTGGGGCTCCTGCTCTTTAATGCTGACAGTATAGTTACACTAGCAACTAGCTCACACTCTTGAGTATCTGCTGGGTACCAGAAACAGTCCCTCTAAACTTTTGGTGCAGTTCTAACTCCCTTCTATAAATAAAGAGACTCAGCTTGTTCCAGGTCACAAAATGTATGAGTCCCAGACTAGATGTGGGAAGGGGAGACTGCCACTGTTGTAGGAAATGAAGGAATTAGAAAGATGAAAGCAATGCACTTTAGAGTTCAGTAGCCTTGGGTTGGAAGTCAGACTCAGCAAGCTATATAACCCAGGATCACAGAGCAAAGATCTCTGAGCCCTTATTTCTTGCCTGTATAATGAACAATTAAGTAATTAAGAGCACAGGAGATTATTCTGGGGATGAGGGGAGAAAGTGACTCAACTCCCTCCCATGGCTTTGTACTTGGGGAAGGGACTGGACCCAGTTGAAGAGCGGTGTTAAGCAGCAGCTGATGTCAGCAAGCCTCAGCCAGCTTGCCCACCTGGGCAGGGACTCCAGTGAGTCAGTCGTCAGAGTGAACCTACTTAGGACAGCCTGGCAGAATCCTCCAGGGAAAGTTCCTGTACCTATCATAGCCTTGAACATCTGGGAGGGGCTGAGATGTTGAAGAGCCCTCATAACCCAGCAGATGCCAAGTAGGCACCATTCAGTAAGGGAAAACAAACAAAGGCTTTCTTCAGAGCTTCCTTGCCTGTCTTGCCTCGGGGCAGCATTCCTTACCATACCTGCACTACCCCCAGTAGGCTCTCTGTCCCTACACAGCAGGAACTAAAGCTTCCAGACTGACCCTACAGAACTCACCTTGCAATTGCAACCCAGGTGGTAGCGGTAATTGAGCCCCTTGCGCTGGGACAGTGTGAGCTGGTCCCACCTCTCCACAAAGTTGCACAGCCCTGTGTACATCTTGCCTTCATAGACACGGCCTGAAGTGGGATAGGAGGCAGGGGAATAGGCATTTAGTCAGAGCCCTGTACTGCCAGGGCCAGGCACTGACCCTGGGTTGGTGATACCTTCCCCAACCCCTTCAGACATGAACTCTGGCCCGTTTTCCAAATGATACTGGATCTTAAGATATTGAGCTTTACGCTGACGGTCTCAAAGCCATCAGGTCTCAGATTCCGTAGGGTTTTGCATGTTGCCATTACAATGACAGCCTAGAGAGCGGTCTGTGACATAAGACAAACCAATGGCATAAGACATATTGACTGACAAGTGCTTTCTAGTTGTGTTAAAGCCGAGATACCACAAAATCAAGACAAAATCAGGACACAGGCAGGTACACAATGGAGCCAGGGCTGCCAGCCAGTACTGGGTAAGCAAGATAGACCCTTCACTTCATGAGACACATGGCTATGACCCTCAGGATGCCACTGACTCGGGGTTGTGGGGTTGTGGCAGATGCAGAGCAAGGGAAGAGTGCCTTGGTGCTCCCAGTGACTCTTACCTGTCAGCAGGTACTGGTATTTGTTGACCTCTAGCTTAAGCCCACAGAGACTTTCAGAGGCTTCCGTGTGGATGTACTGCACATGGGGCATCTTACTGAAGCCTCGGTACATCTGTGGGCAAAATGGAACATGATCATGAGAAAGGGTCCCAGGCACAATCGGCATGCTGCTGTGTAGCATATGAGTTTCTGGATCCCCCGCACAGCCTGTCAGTGGCAGGCTATTAACTCACCACCACAGGGTTCCCTGCACACCAGAGAAGGGACATCTATTCTTTTCCCTGGGCCAGGTCCATGTCTCATTCAGCTGCCCTACCCTACTCTTCTACCTATTTTTCGCTCAACTACAATACCCCTTCACAGATCCAAAGCAGCTATTATGAAAAGTTCCATGTGCTCCGTGCCAGTTTCAAGGTGATAGCTAGCCCACCAGCTGGTCTTTCACATGACATCTCTGTGACACACTGACATCATACATAGCAGCATCCTTGCAGCATCCTCACAAGAGCCTGGAGAGTGGGTACCAAAAACTCTACTCTGCTTCCGGGGTGGCACTGAGTTCCTTTACGCAAGATGAATCACATATACATGAATGTGAAAAAAAATCAAAACTTCTTAATTAAGCATATTCTTATTTCTAGACTAAACCATGTAAAATTCATCTAGGTGGCTGAATCAAGTCACTCTAAACCAGAGGCAAGGCTACACTCCCTTGGAAACATTTGAAACACAAGACAATGGCAGGAGAGTGGACAGAGCAGGGGTGTTGATAATCTTCCTGTGATATGTAGAAGAGCCTTGGGTACAGAGAGATCCGGGCCCAATGTTAGTGACAACACTGAATTTAGGAGATTGCTAGAATATCTAGGCACTAATGCCTAGGACCTGAGAGACAGGAGCCTTGGACAGGCTCACAAGTTTGTCTGTAGTCGTACGGTTGGTAAACAGCAACAAAAAGTCCAGCTAGACAACCCATGGTCTGTGGTCTAAAAGGTTACCTGTTACCACCTCCCCTTTCGGCCTTTGAAGTTAAGGACCCAGGGTTCCTCACGATGAGCAGTTTCTTCTATTTCTAACTCCCGTGGGTCCTTTGTCAGCATGTGCTTGGAGTACTTGCTGTGACTCTGACAGAGACTGACTACATTCTGCAATTCTAGAATGAGTCCATCTGTGTCACACAAGTCCTGATCTACTGAGGCCTCATGCAATCAACTGTGAGCCAGGGAAGGTGGAGGCGGACACTCAGACCTGGCCTGATCCTTACCTTTTAAGGGGCCTTGAATGCCTGGTTGTCGCTGGTCCTCCCCTAAGAGCCTCACAATAGAAAAATATCCCTAGCATGAGCTATTAATTATCCAGGTAATTAATACAAGCCAGACAGTATACTCCACTGGTGCCTCACAAATACCCCACTGAGCCTGATGGGCTCTTTTTCAGTCCTCATCTTCTAATTGGCCAAAGGGTAGCAGGGCACAAAGCCATCTGTTGAAGCTACACAGTCCAGAGGCCTCTCCTTGTTTATAAAGTGCACTGTCCTGATGGGTTGGAGTAGACCCCTTCTGCAGTTCAGTTACACCATGGGGGATCAGGGCTGGAGAGTCAGACTAGGTCGATGGCTTGTTAGATGGTGGTTGTATCGGCCACTCAGGCTCCACAGGAAACACATTTAAGACTCTTATGTGAATGAGGTACCATCACCATGACCTATAAAAGAACAAGTTTCACTGACTTCTGTGCCAGGTAACTAACTGCTCATAAGGATTTGGGTTTTGGCAAATATTTCTACTAAGCATTTAGTCAATGGAGCTTGACAACACAGAAGGTTCCAGCAAACGCTAGATAAGATCTTGTACTGTAAGGGTCTCAGGCTTTGGAGGACAATGGCTCCCTGAGGCCTGAAGGTCAGGGGGTCTTGCAGCTGGAGGAAGCCCTGCTGGCTCTCTTTGCTTAGACAAACTGCTGAGGAAAGAACCCAGCACATTCCAGCTGCCCAGCAGATCCGTCCTGCCCCCAGTTAGGACAGGCAAAGCATATGACCAGCACATGTCCCCCTGGGACCAACTGGGACATAATGTCCCCCACGTGTTGTCCCTTGCAGCCTGCCTGAAAGTAAGTCAGTGCTGTACAAACAATAGCCCCTGGCAAAACAAACTGCTTTCCCATGGTCCCGATGGGAGATAAGGTCCCCACAAATGACAGAGGCCAGTTCTGGAAACTTCCACATTTGCACTACAGCTCAATCCCGGCTAACCTCTATGTACGGGTTTACAATAAGTTCCCTCCATATTCTTATAGCCTTACCCCCCTCACTCCCACACTATGGGTCTGTGTGCACTCAAGGTATGTCCAAGAGAAGGCTGTGTGCCTGCCCCCAGAGGTTAGATGTGCTGACTTTCTGTCCTCTGTTCTCTAAGTTCCTCCAGTCCTGCTCCAGGGCTGCCTGGCTTCCGTGTCTGATCCTTTGGGGTAGTCTAATCCACAATACAAAACCTCTAGGGACCAACGCCAGTCTCGCAGGCTTGGCTGTCACTCACTTTCTCTACCAGTCACCTGTTAGATCACACACCAGCAACTCCAACCTGGCCTTTTTTTTTTTTAAATCGTTTATTTACAGTTCAAAATTTAAATAAGATCTTGGTTTTGATTTGTGATACTTCCTGGTTCATACATTGTGGAGGCAGAGGTCAGTCCAGCTTGTCTGACTCAAGGGAGAGTGTCACCCAACACAGAAGACTTGGTTCAGTCTTGGTCTAGATTACATTTCCCCACACTGTGAGATTACCACTTGCAGTTTGGGTTTATTGTTAGGGCCAGTGGGAACATTCTCAATTTTCCTCATCACCAGAAGTCCATCAGTGATTTTCCCAAACACTATGTGCTTCCCACCCAGCCAACCACACTTAGAACATGTGATAAAGAACTGGCAACCTGGCCTTTTAAGTCCCCCGAGGGAACTAGACATGAGCAGGTGAGGGAAGCCCCCACAGTAGGCAGAAATGAGCATTCAGTCTGCTTGTAGGTCCCTACTTTGTTATTTCCTTGTCCTCCAAGACCCCCGTGGTAAAGACCCTATAGTTTGTCACTTTCTACTCATATAATCTTAACTGTTACATTACTTCCAAGTGTTACTTGCTAACATCATGTTAACTGTGACAAGCATGTCCTTGTCTCCCCATCTTACAGTCCAGTGCTAAGCACAGAGGAGGCTGAGGAGGATGGTGGTGAATGGGCAGACGTCCATTCCCAACTGGTACCTGCTCTGACAGGAAGGCAGAAGGTATCTCTAGATAAAGAAAGCATTGACCAGTTTGTGGGTCATAACTCAGGGCTGGAAACAGAGTTAGAACTAATGAAAGACATTAGATAAGACTGAGAAACAAGCTGCCCTCCAAAGAATCTCCTGTTATACCTTCTGCAGGCTGCACATCAAGAACCACACACAATTAGGAAAGGTGCCCTAGCCCCTCAACTTGAAACTCATATATGCCCTTAATTAAATACACGACTCTTGGCACATCACTTCCCACTGAACCTCGTCAGGAATAAGGGGAAAAGCCCTACATTGGATGCCCAGCTGAAGGGCAGTGAACAGAGAGTCTGAGCAAGCCAGCCTGGGAGTGGTGTGCTGGCTGGCTGGTGGGTGAAAGTACAAGTTAGTTTGCCTCCAAACAACTCCCACTTGTGGGTGTGACACACACCAGGGACATTCTGCCACAGAAAGGCCTCTGGTAACTTGGTCCTCTACACCCTGAAAGCAGGAAGGAAGGTAAGCCAGTTTAGGAATTCCTGCCCCGCAGCTATGTCTCTGCAGCAACCTCAAAGTTTCGGGACAGAGCAGCAGGGCAGGCGGGGAAGGGGCATCCACTGCAGCCAGAAGCTCTGGCTTCCCTTTCCTCAGTGCCAGAGGTTGCAAAGGAGCTTCCCACCTCCACCCATTCCTGGCCTCCCAGCTGTCTGAAGACATACGCTGCTCTCATGACCAAGCCCAGGCAGCCAAGGGCATCTGGCCAGGGCTGACTCTGAACATTACATAACCAAGAGCCTGGGAGTGTTTCCACAATTGAAGCCAGAGCAACAGGTTCCACAGAATTAGTGCATCTAGCCACAGGCCTCTGGAGGGAATAAAGAGGCCTAAAGGTCAGCCTCTAGGATAGCTGGGCTCCACCTAGGGGTGAATCACCCCTCAACCCCAAGTCAAGTCCAACCTGGTCCTTAACACTTGTCCTTTCTGTGGATTTTTCTTCAGACCTTTGGGTCTCACCTTCATCTCTTTTATTAGATAGGAAGCATTCTCCAAGATCTGCCTACTGAATGTCAGACCCCCCCCACACACTCCCTAATATCCAAGGGTGCAAAAACTAGCAATGAGTAAAGAGGTAGCAGCTCACAAGGACTTCAGCACATCCCATCTTGAAGTTGTCAGTGCATGTCTCTTCTCCCTGCATATAACTACAATCCCAAGGTAGAAACAAGAAGCCTGGTGGGCTCACAGACTGCAAACACAGGAATCTGCATATAGCAAGGCGCTTTTATAAAAGCACAGGGGCCGAGGAACAGCTGAGTTATTCAAGCTGAAGCCCCAGTCCTCAGTTCCATCGAGGCAAACATAAGAACATGAGTCCAGCAGCTACTGTCAGTTCCTGCTTAGAAAAGACCCTACCCATTAGGATGCTTGAACAATGAGGTGCCAAGCCCAACAGTGCACTACCAATCAATGGTAACAGTATGGCCTGGAAAAGCACAAGGCCAAAGTCAGTGGGCTCTTTAGGATTAGAAACAGGGCCAGGACACGGGTTCTCTGTTTTTCTTGGACTACCCTGGCATACTTAGGAACATTCATGGGCTTTGGTGAATGGTCTGATGGTATGAATATGCTTAGCAAATATTCCTAATGGACTGTATATAATACAGGCAGGCAACCAAAGCTGGGAAACAGAGAGGGGGCCCTGTGCCCAGCACTCATTCAGTGTGAAGACTGGAGGAAAGGACACCTAACATGTAACCTTAGTGACAGGGCTGGCTCTGTGGATACAACACAACTCAGCTCACAAAGGTTCTTAGGGACCACGTGGTCCAAGATTATGATCTTGTAGGTCTTAGACAGGCCAAAGAAGGGCAGCAACTGTACTGAGGTCTCACAGTCAACAAGTAACAAAGCTATCTGCCATCTGGTTCCAAGGCTCAGCCGCCCTACAAAGACCTATGAATGAATCTGCCTGTGCTGGCTTTGGAGCAAGCAGCCACCATCTCTTCCTGCTGCCTCAGCAGCGCCCTGGGGCTACACTGAGCCAACACACATTATAGTTCCAACCATTTGGCCTCCCTTGGCCATGACTCTTCTGGCAAACCCCCAAGATCTCTCCTGGGGCCAGTGATGATGTCACTCACCTTCATCTGCTTAATGGTGTAGACCAGTGTGCCAAAAGGCCCCTCCTTCACCAGCTTCTTTCCCACCACTTTGGCTCGGATCACTGTAGAGAGAGCAAGACAGAGAGGGAAGGGGGTTAGAAAGGCCTGAGCCACACCTGGAAGGAGAACTCTTCCTGATCCTCTATCTCACCAGGAGTTCTTTATGTCCTGGCCCATCCACAGAGATATGATGAACTCCTGCTCCCTCAGCACCCCAAGTTAGCATTCTGATTGCCCACAGGGCCCACCACTAAGCAAGGAATTGCAACCAAGTCTAGGTCTGAGGGGGCTTACCTAATGAGTGGTTCCCATCCCAGCCCCACTGCTCATGGGTATTGTGACAAGACAAGTAGGGAACTTTGATTCATCCCTAGAACAGGATTTACAATAGTCCAGATCCTCTGAACTGGAGCAATTAGGTGAAACAAAGCAGGTGAAACACATCCTTGCCTTTGATGTACCTTTAGATAAATGCTATTAGAATCATCATCCTTGGCATCAAAAATAGAAGGACTGCTACAATAGGCATCCTTGGTGCACACCTACTATACTCAACAGTATTAGTCATTATTTACTTTCTCAACTTTCTCCTACAATCAGAGTATGCCATCTCCAGTTGTGCAGGGTCTGGCACTCCTTGGTGAGACTTGATTGGTTAAGAGACAGTCCCTTCTGTTTCTACTAGACTGTAAAGACAGCCTTTCTCTCCTAAGCAGTCTTCAGGGGTTTTTAATGCCAGCCACGCAGAGCCATCAATGAGGAAACGAGACCTGCAAAAAGTGGGTCATTCTCGGTGTAGATGTGGGGGAGATCCCTCGATTCTAAGAACTCGTGAAAGGTGGGAGCTACTGCAGGGGGACAGCGCAGCAGCAGAAGCTAGGGCACTGCAGAATGGAGGCATTTTTACTGATTCTTCAGCTCTAAGATGCTATTGACATTCCAAACTCAGGCTCCTTCAGTCAGACGTAGAGCAAACATGCAACTCATTCCAACCCACTTTTGGAGTAAATATTCAAAAAATGATTGTTGAATTGAATACTCTTTACACATGTAAAAGGGTCTCTCTCTCTCTCTCTCTCTCTCTCTCTCTCTCTCTCTTTCTCTCTCTCACACACACACACTTCTGCTGGATTCCTTATTCTCCCCCCACACCCACATTGTAGATATCCCATAATATTTGTATTTCTTGCTTACAAACACATTCATGAGGAACGAAGTTCCCATCCCTCTACAGCTTCTTGGATCACACTTTTGTGGTTAGATATGAAATCAGAACCTAAATGAATCAATGACCCTTCTAGACCTTTTTACCATCCTAGCAATACAAATCCCACAGCAAAAACAGCTCGAGAGCTGAGGCAGTTCAAGTTAAGAGGGGGTGAGTGGCTCTTTCCAGGTCTGCTGTACAAGCCAGACATTGACAAGGTTCCAGAATAACATCCCTCAAGGCTCTGCCTCCATTTCTCATGTCTCATTTTGCAAGACCATCAGTATCAGGCAGAAGGCCATCTTCCCAGAGGCCCCCAGAGACTCTTTCATCTACCATAACCTCAGGGGCATGCTGGGGCAGCCCTGCTGCTGGGCAGAAGGCAGATCACCTGGACTTGACAATTGATTCTCCTTCTTGAGGAACTGAATTGACTTAATATTCAGCAGCTTCATTTTCCCAGATGATAAACCAGGGAGTAAGGTTTTGCCTAAGAGGAAAACGGCAAGAGAGATTTCTTTAAATAGCAGCATCTAGCCATTCCTGGCTTTGTGAAGAGCTCACCTTGATTTAGACATAAAATGTCCTAAGCAAGTTTGCTCTATAAATCTGGGTACTTCTGGAAGCTTCTGCACAAAAGATCAGCCAAATCTTTTCTTACCCTGAAATGGCCTGAGCTTGGAAGTTTCTCATCTGGGGACAGTTTAGAGAAAACACAGAGTTTTTATTCTCAGAGAGTTACATCAGAGTTCAAATCCTACTATTACTATGCAGCCTCACTACAGCTCTTTCTTGATCTAATGCCACTCACATTGATTACAAGTGACACACTTATAATTACTGGAAGAACACCATAAAGACCTGGGCTTGACAAGCTCCAGTATGGAGTCAAATCTCAGCACGGTTGCCATGTGACCATAGGTAATTTACTAAATCTCTCTGGCCTTAGTTTCCTAATGCATAAATTGGGAGTGATGAAAGCAGTCGTCTGAAAGTTGCCATGAGGACCAAGGACAGAATGTGATCCACCCCAAGTACCACGCATCTTTCCTCACTGCCACTAGCACTGAGCCCACCACCAGAACCTCACTTGGTATTTGTCTACCCTAGAGCCCAATCAGTTAAGACCTGTCGACCTTCCATGGCATTAGGGTAGAGGAGAGATTCCTGGCTGCGCCAAAAGGAAAACTCATTCAGATACCTCAGCCTTGTAAAAATCATGGAGAAGGGTAGGGAGACAGACCTGAGGTAACCCAGAACTAATGTGCATGAGGCCTTCAGGCTGAAGCATCTCTACCATCAGTCTTGTCACTACAAATAACCCAACAGTGATCTAGTGGCACCTGCCAAACAAGGTGGTATCTGTGCTCCAGAGAAACGGGGGCAGAAGCAGAGATGGCCAGGGTAGAGGCCACACCAGTGTTTTCTCTGGAGCGGAACTAAAATTAAACAACATCCTGTACTCCCAAATAGATACACAGCCCTTCCAAGTCAAATTGCTTGCCAGCCCCAAATCTACCTATTTGGCTCGTGAATTATTATAACTTCATTTGCTTTAGTTTGTCCTGTGCAACTTGGATGTGTGTTATTCTGTGCTTTCCTATTTGGCAGTAAGGTCTTCCCTGGAGGCAGTCCACTGGCCGAGGCAGGGACCATGGGGAACAAGAAGGTTGGTGGGTGTCCAAGACTTCAACAGCAACAGAAGACTTAGAGCTGACATTACATCTAGCCTCTCCCTCCACTTTCAAATGGCAGCTTTGAGATGGACCATGCTGGACACAGGTTCTCTTTATTCCTGCCAGAGAGTGGCCACTCACCCAATGTCCTCCAGCAGCTGAGCCAGCCTGGACATGGCCTAGGCTGGTGTCTGGAAGCATGAATGCTTGGTAGGGATGATAGCAAGAAATACAAGCCCAATTTCCTGCTTCCACAGACTGCAGTCTAGTAGGGAGACAAGGTGGAGTTTAGCACCAGAGAACAAATCGCCGAGGGTCATAAGTGCTGCCAGAGACTAGAGGGTGGAGGCCCTGCCTGACTCAACCTCTGATGTTCCCTATGTCGTCTGAGTTCTCTGCTTCTGAAGACATGGAGATTAAAAGAGATAGGAAGAGGTTAATTAAGGAGTCGATAATATTTCAACACAAAGTTTCTAAGAAACTGACTAGAGGCTTGGGTGTAGAAGGATGATAGAAAGACTTGCCCAGAATGCCCCGGTTCCAATCTATAGGCCACAAAAAGGAAAAGAGCAGGCTATAGGTGCTTGGGAACTGGCTCACAGATCCACAAATGTATGTTGAGTCCTGAGAAAGAAGTCATAAAAGTGTATCTCTTTTGGGAAGGTTGATCAGTGTTTGCAAAACCAAGGCAGAGTACAGCTCTTCCAAGCATGTGAGGTTGTTACTTTTCTTCCTCCCCATGGCCCACCCTTTTTCGTTAGCAATGGGGACCTCAGCAGCACAAACTTTAAACAGTAATAGTTCCAGGGCAAGCACATCCCTGGTGCATCTCTAGGAATCACACATCTGCTAGAATCAACATATTCAGAGAAGGACAGGATATCCCGGAGCGGCCCATGTCTCTCTCCACAACCTTCCACCCTCCTCTACCAATCCAACCACCATCAATCAAACCAAGACCTTCCTCTCCCTGACCTAAAAGACAGGTTTTCCTACTGACTGGGTGGAAGGATAAGCAGTGGGGCTGCTGGTCTGGCTAATTTGGGGAACAAAGGCCTAAGTTAATGGGGGTCACCTATCTCAGGCTCCCATCAAAAGTTATACCACTCCATCTATTCTCTCCTAGGAGCCAAGTGGCTGGCTCTGAAAATGTGGACCCCAGGGTAGACAGGACTCTGTGTAAAGCTGTCCAAGAATGGCAGAGCAGGGATTCCTTGCTCATCCAGCTGCCCACCCACCCCACCAGTTCCTGCATCTCTTTGCATTGCACCTGCAAGCGTAGTGAAGAAAGGAACTAGAATATATTGATAGAAACTCCCATTGACAGACTGTGCCCTATGTGCCAAGGACTGTGTATACTTCACTGTGTTCCCTTCGGGGTGACTCTGTAGGATGGGAATTCCTATGCCTGTTATTGGTACCTACTGAGCTGTTTTGCCTCTCAGTGTGGAGGAAAATGAAGAGTGGCCCCAAGAAAGAAGACTGCCATTGAATCTTTGCATAATAGTTCATAACTGTATTCTATTACCATTGTCAACCCTAATGGGACTTGAAAGGGGATGTCTGATGTGTCCCCCACAAACCTTCATCAACTCAATCAACCTTAAGGCTACCCCTCTCATTCTCTCTCTGTCTCTCTGTCCCTCCCTCCTTTTTTCCCTCCCTCCCTCCCCTCTCCCTTATTAATAACAAGAATCTACTAATAATCACCATCAACAGATAATGGTAAATCACTTATTTAGCTTACTGTGCTTCCCAATCACAGGACAATGTGTTTGTATGTATAAAACACTTTGCAACCATGGAGCTGAGCAGGTGATTCAGGGGCAGGGAGATGGACAGTTACTTACAGATTTGTAATATTTTTTGGTTCTTCAGAGGAAAACAGAAGCCTTCCCCTGATGATACATAGCATCCCCTTGCCCTCATCCTTTTCAAGGTCCTCAGGAACCTGTTGCTCCTTAAGGGACCCTTAATGTATCCATATTTGAGGACAAGACAGCAGGAATGAAGATGAAGGGGACTTAGAAGCCCCTGCATCTTCCTGGTTCTCAGTCTTGTGGGTGTCATGACCCAAACTCTAAAAATCTCCCTAAAAAGGCTGAAGTCAGAAGCTCAGACCAAGAAGACCGCTAGCAACACAGTCTGAAAGAGCAGGAGGCACAGGCATGTCGATTCA